TAACGGGTCCAGGGCTGCTGGGGATGCTGCCAGCCTGTCGAAGTCGATATCAAGAACTGAGTCCGGGTAATGTGTCTGGTATATGTATTGAGTGTATAGCTTTGGACTGTTGAGTTGGAAATAGGAAGTTATAGCTGGCGATTAGGAAAAGTACAGAGATGTGGCTTGAAATCAATGTTTAGCAATTTGTATCGTAACATCAAGTACTACTTCATAACAATAACCATCGCCATCACCATCGTACATCAGTACATCTTATATTATTCTTCACTGACGATGCAAATCGCCCAATTCACCGATCCACGCTCGGTGGCCCGACGAAGCGTGACAGTGACCAGGTCCGAGATCTGCTGGGAATCCTCCTCGCGGTGACTGTTAATCGCACGCTGCGTCCACTGGGGGGTCCTTCCAGGCGATGATCCTGGCGCTGTTTCGACCGCCAAACGAGGTATTGGGACACTCCATGCCGATGGAGAAGTGGCCGGTGTCCCCCACGAGGCGAAAGGGGATGATGACGCGCGAGCCCCAAGAAGCTAAACGGCATCCCGAACAGCGTCGTCTTGGTGTACACGTACAATCCCGCCTCGAGGGAATTGCAGGGTCCGTCCTCTGCCACTGCGTCGTCGATGTACGGACACATCGTGTATCGCTCGCCGTGGGTGATCTCCTCCGGTTCTGCGTCGATGCGTGTAGACGTGTCGTTGATCAGGAGCAGGACGTTGAGTGCTCTTCTTGGCAGGGTCGTGGCCACTGCTGTGGTATGTTTAGTGTTCTGCCCATTCTATCGTGCTGTTTGCTTACCGACACACGCGCCCGTAAGGGCTATCCAGGGCGCCACGGCCTTGACGGTCGCGGCTATCGTGGGCCCGTCCAGCTCGTCCAGCTCCGCGAGAGCCGAGCGATACTGCAGCGCCCGCCAGGTGATCACAGCCTGCATTGCCGAGCCTACGGCTGCAACGGCGAGGCCGGACGTGATGACCCACGACTTGGTCCTGGGCCCGAAGTTGGCCTGCTGCAGGAGCGACTCCATTTCCGTCTCCAGGTCATCCCCGTAGAAATGCCGCAGTCGGTTCAGCTGCCAGCGCGTGATGGCGATGGCGTTGTTGAGTTGGCCGGCGGGCACGGTCTTCGCGGCCTTGTGCGCCGTGTCGGTCAGCCAGCCGGCGGGGTTGGCGTTGCTGAAGATATCCAGCAGCTCTCTCCTCGTGAAGGTGCGACAGTCGTGGCCCGGGACGGGGACGAAATCGAGATAGTCGAGGTCCAGGTCCCGCGCGATGCGGGAGAGAAGCTGGGCGCCGTTCGCCCGGGTGAATCTCCACTCGACGTAGCATGTCGGGAAGAAGATGGCGATGTTCATGGCGTGGCCTGTTATGTCGTGGTGGTACCACATGAGCATCTTGTGATCGATGACTTCTTTGGTGGCGGCGACGAGCTGCGACGCCTGCGTCTTGAGTCTCGCGGTGTCGGAGTCCATCGGGTTGGTCGAGCTTTTCCACCGCCATACGGTGTAGCTGGCTGGCTCGGTCTTGAATAGATTGAAGAAGCTGCTGAGTAGGCTCATCATGGAACTTATTGCTGGTTGTCCTGCGGGGGGTTAGTGCATTGTCTGCTCGCTGCGTGCATACGCGGAGACTCTTATATGCAGGTATCTACGCCAGTCCAGTGTTTATATGATGGTCATTATAGTAGTGAATTATTGTACGGGTCTGTGAATGCAGTGTTCCTCTTTGTTGCTCTGTGTTCTCTCCGGTTCGGTGTCCCCCGGTTCTCTCCGTTTGCTGAACATGCAGAGCGGCTCACGACTTCCTGGCTATGATTATGCCCTCTGCACCCGGGGCCTGGTGGAAGGAGACATCCGTCAGCCCGACGGAGGTGAGAAGTCCACGCCACTGCTTCTCGGTGCGCTCGAGCGCGCCCACCTGGAGCATCATCATGATGCCGATGCACGCGGTGGCAAAGTCGCAGTCCCTGTCGGGGATTATCTGGTCGTTGATGATCAGCCGGGAATAGCCGGGCTCCATGGCAGCGACGATATTCTGCAGGATGTCACGGGCCTGTTCGTCGCGCCAGTCATGCAGGATCCAGTGCATGTAGTACGCCCGCGCACCTGTCCAGGTTAGCATATCACGAGACACGGTCGAGCTTCATACCTTGTACTGGCTGCGCGGTGAAAAAGTCATGCGCCATCAGCTCAGTCTGCGCTGGTGCGTCTGCGATGCTGGAGATCACCTGCGGCAGGTCTTGCAGGATGCGGCGACCCGGCGCATCGGGGAACTTCTTGTTGAACGCGTGGAGGTAGTGTCCTTCGCCGCCGCCGACATCCACGAGCAGGACCTCGTCCGGCTGGTTCCGGAACCCGTCGAGGACCGTCCCCGGGACGTCGAACCAGTCCACCCAGTTCGGGGTCGCCTGCTGCTTCAGGGTCATCCATTGCTGGAAGTCCTTGGCCAGCGAGGGGTTCTCGCCCAGCCAGTTGAAGTAGCTCAAAGGGGTGTTCTTGGCGAGCTGGAAGGGCGTGTCTTCTGCCGAGGTCGGGAACTGGTTACCGTTTCGATGGAAGTACTCTGGCGCGTACGTCGTGCAGAAGTTGCCGATGTCGAAGCTGGGTTGTGAGCTACTGCCTACATACGTGTCTGGGGACGTACCATGCTCTGGTGGTGGCTTCGAGGGTCGGATCGGCCATCGCCATCGTCAGCGGCGAGGGCTTATACGTCTGCACGCCTGTCTCGCGCACATACCCGGCGGCAGCGAGCGGCTTCAGAATCTGGTCTGCAAAGTGTTAACTAGATCCTGCAGAGCGGGTCAAGAGATCGGCAGACAAGTGGGCCAACGCTCGACCCAGGATTTTCAAGGAGAAATCTCGGACCTACCGACGACAATGGCGCTAGCTCCGGCCTTTGCTGCAATCTGTTGGGCAGTTACTCCGTCGCCGTCGCGAACGGCCTGGAAGACCCCCAGTTGGACACCCATGCGAAGGGCCATGAGTAGCACGGGGTTCTTCGTTGTTAGCTAGTACGGTGAGGCCGTTGTATTGTTGAGTAACATACCAAGACTACGTCCTGGATTACCGTCTCCGGTGGAGACCCCAGGGCTTCCACGAGGCTGCGCGCGGCTTTCAAAGACCTGAGTCGGGCAGCATCGTCGAGGGCCTGGCTCTGCGCTGTCTGCGCCAGAGACGCGATCTGGTCTTCGAGAGATAGACTATGGGGAGACATTGTGCTGATTTGAGATGAAGATTGCAGGGACACGGCCTAGCTCATAAACCTTGAAATAACACGGGCTGAGAAATGAAGGATCCATCGACTATTGATCGGGTTCCTGCCGGGAACAGGCAGTGGAGCCACACGTGGTGGCATCGTGAAGAATGCTGGATTGATTGATTGGATGAGAGAAGTCAAAGATTCGCCTGGCCACCGTTCAACAGCGGTTCGTCTGCGGAAATTTCTAGGGCAAGGCTGCGAGGCGAAGTGGAGCGAGTGCGCAGATAAATTAACGTGCTGAGCCGATGCGATCCACTTGGATCCGTCGTTGCGATCGATCCATGGTTCGATCGGGATTTGGCCATTATGTAACCTGCAACTGAGTTCTTAAACTCTGCTGTACGCCACTGCTGCATGCCACTGCTGCACTGCTGTATAGGCCGAGTTCGAGCATGGATACGGCGTACTGTGGCGGTTCGCTGATGGGCGTGTCGATCGCTTTTGCGGTCATGCAGATCATCGTGGTCGCGGCGCGGTTCTATGCGCGCTATGTGCAGAGAGTCGCCTGCGCACTCGACGACTACCTGATTATTCCTGCGCTGGTGTGTCTTAGCATGAGCATTGCTATGGTATATACTAACCGGCGTAGATTGCCAGTCTCGGTCAATCAGCACTGTACATAGTTTGTACGTTTCCGCACTCGTGCCAGGGATCAACTAACTCGGACAGTGCTCAAGGTAGCCGGGTTAGGATATCATCTCGACTATGTCATGCAGACGCCGGAGAAGCTAGTCGCATTGCAAAAGGTATTCCGACGGTCCCGCCAGCGACGCAGCTAACAGGTCAGGGACTCGTCGCGAACCAAATCCTCGACTTTCCGTTCACCGTTGCGCCGGCCAAGATATCCATTCTGCTGTTTTACGTTCGCATCTTCGACACGCCCCGGTTCCGAATGCTAGCCTACACCGTCGGCTTCATCGTGATCGGGCACGGCATTGGTGTCTTCTTCGCGGCTATTTTCCAGTGCTCGCCTGTGCGGTACGCATGGGATAAGACGATCCAGGGATCATGTTTCAACCAGCAAGCGTTCTACCGCTACGTGTCGCCGCCGAACATCCTGACCGACGTTCTGATCCTGGTCATGCCGCTGCCCTTCGTCTGGAATCTGCATACACAATTGACCCAGAAACTGGCTTTAACCGGCGTATTCCTGCTAGGAGGGCTGTAAGTCTCATCAACCACGGTCCATGGAAGAGTACCGAAGACTAGAATGAAAGATTGACATCAACAGGGGCACCGTCGCAAGCATCCTGCGAATGACCATATTCTTCCAGGAAAACGCCCTCACAGACCCAACCTGTACGTACCCCTTTGATAGGAGTATTTTCACTAACAGAAACAGGGACATCCGTCAACCTAGGCATCTGGACCGTCCTCGAAGGAGCCATTATCATCATCGCAGCGTGTCTACCGTCCGTGTGGCCGTTGATCGTGCGCATCCTGCCGCGCAAATTGGTGAGCAAAGCGTCATCCAAGAACCGGAATATGCCGTACACATCTGGCCGGGCCCGCGGCGATGTATTCCCCTGGGCGAGGAATCGGACAGAGACAGACAAGTGGCCGTTGGATGTAGCTGGGTATGAACGCCAGGTATCCAGCCAAGCGGCGGAGAGTGTGTCGTTGCGGAGTTTAGATATAGCATAATTTAGTAATAAATTACGGAATAATAAATTAATTAGAAGAATAGAAATTTAATGTGTAAAATAGTCAGTAAATATTAAAAAAATAAGAAAAAAGAAACTCTCCCTCGGGGAGTCGAACCCCGGTCTCCCGCGCTCGTTCTCGAGGAGATGACAAGCGGAAATCATGACCGTTAGACCAAGGAAGATGTTGATCGAGTTACCGCTCGACCACTTGGTTTGATATTTTATTTCTTCTATTTAATGGTTTATATTCTACTTTTGTTATGAGATATCTACCACTTTGTGACTTATTGGTTATGACTTATTACTTTGAAGTATTGATTTAGTAAAGATTATTTGTATATTGAACACTTTGGGGTTAGTGTTAATGAGTTCCAAGTTACTACTCTACTAGTAGTATTTGATATACTATTAGTTAACATGTTCTTGGTACTACGTGAAATTGTGAATATATATTCGGGTACATGTAGTCATCAGTAAGTTATAGAGTACCAGCTACAAACAATTAAAATAAGTTTATGTCTTGAGAAGTTCACTATAATACTATTTAAGTTCCAACCAGACTGCTTGTCCAGACAATGCGAGATAACTCCGAGATAGGGCACGATGAATGAACTGACCGGAAATATATCCCACAACCCTAACTACCAGCAACTGTATATTAGCATCCGTGCTACAACCAAGTCAAGTAACTTGATAAAGTGAAACATCGGCTAAAGTCCGACAATAGTCACAATATGAATCCTGATCTCGGGATCTACCAGCCACAGCCTTAGCCCGTTCAACTAATCTAGGCAACCAGCGGCTATATTCTCTTCCACACAATTAAGCGTGTTCTTAACTGTGGATCCGTGTATTCGTACATCTTATCTTGATCGCTAACTCCGAGCTCGGACATAATTGCCTCTTTTTTCTTAGCATGTATCAACATTGACACAAGAGGAAAGCCAGACGACTCTATACATATGACCGAATTAATGAGTGTTACCCCTGAATTGTCTTGTTTTGCTATCCTGCCGTCTAGACGGCTAGTGGCTCCTAGGCAGCAGTGGAGCATCAATCTGATAAGACAACTTAACACAACATTAACGTAAGCGTCAAGCTAACTGCTCGTTATGGCTCACTTGGCAGCCACGCAATCCGTGACGACAACTCTTCAGACCGTTGGTCTGGCACTAATCCCGAATCTAGTACCTTGTTTCAACTTCGCCTTAAATACCGAGTCCCAGCTCTAGTTCCTCTCATCCGACAGTCCAACTTCAACCATTCATTACTCTTCTACACTCGTTCTATAAGTATACAATGCGATACTCGCGCGCTGTGGCGGTTCTCGCGGCCGGCGCCAACGCCTCCCTGACCGATGTCTGCACCAAGTCCAACGTGCAGTCGGCCCTGCCGGCCAACGGCACCCTGCTCGGCATCAGCCTGATCCCCTCGGCCGTGACCGCAGGCACCGTCTACAACGCCAGCACCGGCGGCGGCATGATGAGCAGCAGCTCCGACGGCGAGACCTACAACTACTGCAACGTGACCGTCACCTACACGCACACCGGCAAAGGCGACAAGGTCGTCGTCAAGTACGCCTTCCCCGAGCCCGCCGACTACAAGAACCGCTTCTACGTCGCCGGCGGCGGCGGCTTCTCCCTCTCCAGCGACGCCACGGGCGGTCTCCCCTACGGCGCCGCCGGGGGCGCCACCGACGCCGGCTACGACGCCTTCAGCAACAGCTACGACGACGTCGTCCTCTACGGCAACGGCTCCATCAACTGGGACGCCACGTACATGTTCGCCTACCAGGCGCTGGGCGAGATGACCCAGATCGGCAAGCACCTGTCCAAGGGCTTCTACGGCTCCGACAAGCTGTACACCTACTACGAGGGCTGCTCGGACGGCGGCCGCGAGGGCATGAGCCAGGTGCAGCGCTGGGGCGAGGAGTACGACGGCGTGATCGCCGGCGCGCCCGCCTTCCGCTTCGCCCAGCAGCAGGTCCACCACGTCTACTCGTCGGCCGTCGAGAAGACCCTGGACTACTACCCGCCGCCCTGCGAGCTGAAGAAGATCGTCAACGCCACCATCGCGGCCTGCGACCCGCTCGACGGCCGCACCGACGGCGTCGTGTCCCGCACCGACCTCTGCATGCTCAACTTCAACCTCACCTCCATCATCGGCGCGCCCTACTCCTGCGCCGCCGAGACCAGCACCTCGCTCGGCTTCGGCTTCAGCCAGCGCAAGCGCCAGGCCGCCGGCAGCAGCACCAGCTACCAGCCGGCGCAGAACGGCACGGTCAGCGCCCAGGGCGTGGCGGTCGCGCAGGCCATCTACGACGGACTGCACAACAGCCAGGGCGACCGCGCCTATCTCTCGTGGCAGATCGCGTCGGAGCTGTCGGACGCCACGACCGAGTACAACTCCGACACGGGCAAGTGGGAGCTCAGCATCCCGTCGACAGGCGGCGAGTACGTGACCAAGTTCGTGCAGCTGCTGGACCTGGACAACCTGTCTGACCTGAACAACGTGACGTACGACACGCTCGTCGACTGGATGAACACCGGGTTCATCCGCTACCTCGACAGCCTGCAGACCACGCTGCCGGACCTGACCCCCTTCCAGCAAGCCGGCGGCAAGCTGCTCCACTACCACGGCGAGTCGGACCCCAGCATCCCGGCCGCCTCGTCCGTGCACTACTGGCAGGCTGTGCGGAGCGCCATGTACCCCGACTCGTCGGACGAGGAGGCGCTCGCCGCGCTGCAGGACTGGTACCAGTTCTATCTCGTACCGGGCGCAGCACACTGCGGCAGCAACTCGCTGCAGCCGGGTCCGTACCCGCAGAACAACATGGACGTCATGATCGACTGGGTGGAGAACGGGGTTCGTCCGTCGCGGCTGAACGCCACCGTGTCCTCGGGCGACTACGCCGGCGAGACCCAGATGCTGTGCCAGTGGCCCAAGCGGCCGCTGTGGCGCGGGAACAGCAGCTTTGCCTGCGTGGACGACGAGAAGTCGATTGACAGCTGGACGTATGAGTTTAATGCGTTTAAGATGCCTGTCTACTAACACCTTATTCTGTACTCAGCTGTAACTGTCATTACTAGAATGCAATACATACTAGAATGTTCAACACTAGCATAGTCCAGAATTATAAGATAGCAAAGTATCAATACTGTAACTAGAACAAGATAAATCAACCCTTAGCAGCCAACTTCCTGACAAAATCATCCGCCTCAGCAGCATACCGACACCGCCGTCTAATCCCGGCCCCATATTTATAAAACACAAACGGAAAAGGCAAGCACGCCAACGCCAGGAACGCAGGCACGCAACTCGCCCAGTGCAGCCCCAGATCCGCATACATATACGTCGTAAAGAGGGGAAACACGGCCCCGAAACACGAGCGAATGATAGAGTTGGCGGCGAGCACCGACGCAGCGTAGATCGTATACGCGTCTATCAGATAAGTCATGATGTTGAGGAAGACGAGGACCATGCCGAAGCCGAAGGGCGCGGAGGCGATTATCGGCACGATCCAGTGCACGGGGGAGGTATTTGTCCAGGCGAACCAGAACAGGCCGATGGGTATGGCTATCCCGCCGACCATTGTGGGGGGGAGACGGGCCTCCGGGGGCGCGAACCCGTTGTGTTTCCGGTGGATGGCCACGTACCGTCTATTATCGAGCATGTTGGCCGCCACCGCGGCCATCATTCCCACCATGACCCCTAGAAAGGGTAGCGACCCGACGCCCTCGGACCAGCCGCGCGTCTGCTGAAACACAATCGGAAACGCGTCGAACAGCATATACAGCGTGCCGTACACGATAGCCATGTACACCGACAAAAGCAGAACAATAGGCTCGGCAAACAGCAACACCCACGGACGAAGCAGGGCCGTGCCGAACGTACTAGCCAGGGAGACTTTGCCGCGCTCTATCTCCAGCTTGCTTTTGTGCGTCTTTCCCGTGAGAGAGGTGAGTTTCGCGGCCCGTTTGCGGAGAAGGACTGGTGCGTATGTCTCGGGGACGAGGACACTCTCTATCACCCAGATTAGGCCCGTGAAGGTCGCGAGGAAGCCTTGCACCCAGCGCCAGCCGGCGTTTTCGCCTAGGAACCCGCCGATGATCGGGCCGAGCGTTGGGCCTGTTTTGTTAGTTCTTATTCCATTATTCTTTCTTATTTCATTCTTATTTCATTCTTTTGCTGGGTATTGGGAGAGGGAGAGAGAGAGAGAGAGAGAGAGAGAGGGTTGATGAGTATTCCATACCTAGGAAAGGAGCCCCGGCGAATAAACTAGTGGCTAGACCGCGCTGCTCGGCGGGAAAGATGTCGGCGATGACGCCGCCCGCGTTGGTGAGAGGGGACGAGCCGAAAGAGCCGGCGAAGAAGCGGAGGACGATGAGAGTCCATGGGTTCTGGGAGCCAGCCGCGCCGGCGCAGAAGAATGCAAGGGCGCCGTAGGAGACGAAGAAGACGATCTGGCGGCCGATGAGCTCGCTCAGCGGGGCCCAGACGAGAGGGCCAACGGCGAAGCCGAGCACGAACAGCGACACGCCCAGCGTTGCCACCTCTTCACTTATGTTGAAATCGGCGATAATCTCCTGGATACCCCCCGCATAGCAAGAAGACGACAGCGAGACGCCAAACGTGGCAAACGCAACGGTGATAGTATACGCCCATTTCAAACCAGTGCTAATACGCATCGGGTTGCGGGGATCATCCGGGATCCACTCGACGATGTACGGGTCATTTTCCGTCCCGGAGCCCTCGTACGGGTAGTTTATTACGTCCTTGGTGAGGACGCTCTGGTCGACCAGGACGCGCCAGTAGGGGAGTTCCATTATGAGTAGCCATTTTGGCTTGTCCCTGGACGCCTTAAGTAGATGACCGCTGGTAGTCCTTGCAGATTTTGTTGGATGTATGATGTGATTGGATCTGATTGAATATGTATCGGATATTGCTCCACGATGGGTCCACCGGGCCGTGTTCGGCTGATGTTTCGGCAAGCCGATTGAACGCAGCGTGTGCCGAGGTCTATTTACTTCACTTCTGATCTATCACTACGGTGTATAGTTCAGTTTACAGTAGAATCTGAGACCCTATTCGAGTAAAATAATGGTAAATCAAGATTAATGGTAAATCAAGATTGCGAATATTAACCATTCGGTTTACAAAAAGTTCAAATGAGTATAAAAGA